AAAAAATTTATTACATAACTATAGGGAGAAATGTTGTCTGAAGAGAATAAGAGATAGAAATTTTATTGTAAAGCATTTACCAACATCATACCATAAGCAGAAATTATCACTTATGCCCAGTTTCCGAAAGGCCAATCAAAGCGGCAATCACATAACACTATGTCAAAAATGATCAGCTGTTAATCTCTTGTTAAACTGCCTTGGGTTTCTGGAAGGTTTGTTTAAGAAAAATTAGCTAATGACTATATAACCAATGATAATGAATGAAATGAATGATTTACTTCAACTAACTCTTTCTATTGTATAGCTGTCCCTTTTTAAACAAAACTTAAATTAACGTCACTATCCAGTCCTGTCACCGTGTGATTGCCAACGTAAAAATCCGAGCTATAATAAAATTTAATTTATATAAATACATGCAAAATATAAAAAAAAACTTTACAGAACGTGAAAAAAATGAACTTTTACCCATAATAAACAAGTAAGTATTATAAAAAGAAAGAATCCATATTATTTATTAACTTTTGAATTGCATTTTGTATTTTTTCTAATCGCATGATATGTTTGCATAATAATAAATAATAAATAGGTAATAGAACACATGAATGTCCTTACAACGTATTAGGGAATTATGTTTATTTTTAATAAAAACTAAGATTTTTTATAAAATACATTTTTAACCAACGATTGATCGTCCAAATTGACAGATTACTTAATAAAACTTTTGTCAGCTCGTTGACCACCGAAAAACACTTTCAGAAACTCGATTTTCTGTTGATTGTCCGTTAATCAGTGACTAATTGCAAATCAAAATCAATGTTGTTTAAGACGTTCTAGCAACTCAGATCATGTTAAACAACGATTGACAAGATATTTATCGTAAATTAAAATTGATTGCGCTTTCGGAAACTGGGTGTTATTGATTTATCAATCAATCAATTAAATATCTTTATTCAAATAGACGCTTGCGCGTTCTTAAGAATCGTCAAATTTTACATAAAAAAAATATAATTATATATAGTGGTACCACCTGTTCGGAAAGCAGTTTCTGTTGAGAAGAGACCGGCAAGAAAGTCAACAGTTGCTCTTTTTCAAAAATAACGGTTTACAATATAACATACCGGTATATTGGCCTTATTCTAGCCTAAGTGAGTATCATTTTCTGTGATACATCTGTTGAAAAGGATATCTGGACAGGGATAAAATATATGGACTTTTAGAAATTCATGATTAAGTATGAAGATTCATGTCAACTTAAAACAAAATAGTTTTTGTCATAAAATTTTTAAGTTAATTAAAAAAACTTTTGAACAGATATAATTGAAGGGCAATTATTTTATCATGTAAGACCCCGATAACTAGTGAAATGACTAGTGAAATGAACTACAACTACTAACATGAACTGAAACTAAAAAGAGAACATCCAATTTAATGTAAAATTTTCTTATTTCGTCTGTTCGTGTAATTTATATGATCGTATACGACAATAGGCGCAATGCAGATTAATTACATATCGAACCAATTTTGCTTAAAAACAGCTTATTTTTATTGCTCATAGTACTCTATTTTTACATTTTTTAAAAGGATACATACAATAAAATTACTATAGATTAAATGCGGTTGAAAAGAAAGATTAAAAAGTCAACATACTATTCTACGCGTTTAGTAATCTTAAAGGTAGCGTCAATTCCAAGCTTTAGTTATAATTCTCACCAGATCCATAAAGGTTCTTTTTAAAATAGTGCATTATATTCGGCGCAAAACGAGGGACCTTTGTTCAGTGGTGAAGATAAATTTCAATTTTGGGCCTTAGTTCATAAAATCGAAGTTCATTCATAACCGACAACAGTACGGCCTCAAAATTACGAGGGGCAATTAATTTCGAGCCTCGCCGAACAAAATGGCCAACTGTCTAATATCGTCTGTTCGCCTCCCCTGATGACCGCATCAATGGCTCTCTTCGACGCTTCGTTAAATATATTTATTACTAATTGGCTTCCGAGGGCAGAGGATGCACTTCTAGTCATCAACTGAGTTCAAGAACCGGCGGTCTGTTTTGTTTAATGAATGCTTTACTAAATGAAAATATATTTAGGGATTTATCGCTTTTATTTGACCTAGCTGTGGCATTAAGACATCCATGAACGGTGAAAATGGCATGAATGTTTTGTTTAAGGTAACATTTAATTGGTACAGTGACTTGTGTTTCTTACGTGATTACACATTATGAATGAAACTATTTTTACGGATTTATCGCGTTTGTTTGTTTATTTTAAAACCCGAAATTTTGAATGATTTACAACAGTAATAGAACACAGAAGTAATAGAAAACTGAGCATTTATGGGAGCTATAAAATTATTGTACCATTAAAATTTGGAGAAATCGAACTCGTCTTCCAGATTCGCGCTCAGACGTTTAAGCCACTTAGCTGCCACGGCTGATTTCCACACCGATGAAAATCACAACGAAAAAATTTACATTGTTTTTTATCGTCTTTTTAAGCAATGATTGACGCATCAATTTTTATATAATTTACAGAATACAAACAATTTCAAGTATCGTTTGAGAACGATGATATGAACGAGAGACATCGCCATTACTATATGAAATTTTAATTCTCATAATGCTAATCTCTGCACATAAAATGAAGCAAATTAAAATAAATTGTATTGTTAGTTAACAAATCATACGAATGCTCAATACAGTATAGTGGTTTGTAAACTATACAGAGTACATGGTTCTACACAAGTAGGATATCTCTAAGGAACTTCAAAGCTGATGCATAATAACATATTGATTGCATACACTTGTAATCACCAACATTTCTATGCTTCGACAGAAATACGCTTCAGTAAACATGCCAATAATTATCTAACATTCATTGTTTTGAGGTTAATACTAGTTATACAATTTAACCATTTACATTATATTTATATAAGTTAATATAATTTTTGCATTAAATAATTTTTACATAAATTCTAAAAAGTAAAGTAAAGTAACAGCCTATACATGTCCCACTGCTGGACAAAGGCCTCCTCTATACAGAGGGTATCAGGGCATAGTCCACCACGCGGCCCCACTGCGGTTTGGCGGACTTCACATATTTTCGAAATATTTTTTTTTGTTATTATTTCGAAAATATGCAGATTTCCTCACGATGTTTTCCTTCACCGCGGAGCACGTGATAAGTCAACACTTAAAGTTAAAAACTTCATTGGTGCCGGCACCGGGGATCGAACTCAGGTTGCTCGAGTATATTGAATTAAAGGCGAACGCCTGGACACTGAGCTATCACGGCTCTTAAATTCTAACGTTAGTATGAATTGTACATAAATTCTAAGTTAAAAATAACAACAATTATCGATTTTTTTTACTTTTTTTGTTTAGAACTGACTAGCGCTTGACTGCCATCCCACCTGATGGTAAGTGGCGATGCAGCCTTTCATGGTAAGCGCGCTAGCTCGGTAAAAACCTATTCACTCTTGCCCTGAAGACGCCTGCAACCTATTTACCGCTTTAAATATTTTTTTTTGTATTTATTTGTTTTTTATGCAAAAAAAATATTCAAAGACAGAGTCTTCAATTAGCATAGTTAGATAAATGATTCTCTTTGTAACTCGTTATCTATTCAGATATTTAAATTTGGAGTGTCTGTTCCTAATATTAAAATGACCACTTTTTACTGAATGCATATGGATACGCATATCCAACATAGGATATATAACAAAACAAAATTTTTTACAATTTTTGTCCGTCTGTTTGTTCCTAATCTCTGAAACTGACGTGACTTTCACTGGCCGATAACTGATGTAATAAGTAGTAACTCAGGCTATTATTTTAGAAATTATATCAATTTTAAATTTCACGCGAAGTCGCCGGCACAGCTAGTGGTTGAATAATTTCAAAATCGTTGTGTCTTACGTTAGTCACGTTCTCATGAACACCTTATATAGATTCAAATGGCCAAAAAGGGACCAGAAAAAATATTTGATCATAAGAAACCACAATGGCTATGAATCAAATCTAAATAATTCCAGGTAGATTATAACCTAATCGTCCTATTGTACTGAAAAGTGCACATAAGGGTACTTTAATAGTAAGACTATCCATTTGATTGTGCGGATATATAGCGACTAGGTGACTAGACCAAGGGCCCCCGAGAGCTGACATCGGCTTGGGCTGTCACTTAATACCCGTCTAACTTTCCGATTCGAGGGTGGCCGAGAGGGCCGAACCTCGGCTCGATCGGTTGCTATAGTCTGACTGGGAGAAGAATTCCTAAAGCTATCATAACAACCACGTCGTAAAGCGTTGGCGCTGGGAGAAGAAGAGACGGAAGAAACACCAGTATCTGATAAATGAAAATATCCTGGCTAGAAAACCTGCATATATTCTTCGAAATAATAACAAAAAAAATATAAAGTGGGGCCGCGTGGTGGAATGTGCCATGATACCCTCTGTATCTGAGGAGGCCTTTGCCCAGCCGTGGTATATATATACGCTGTTACTTTACTTTACTAATTCATATATTAAACGTAAAAGTCATGAACAAAATAAAAGAAATGTGCTCAGCTTAATTGTTTAAAGCTTCCAAATTTTCAAGTATTGAAAATCATAAATATATTATGTGCTTATATAGACGTCTAATTGCGGCTGTTCCTATTTATTATATTATTATTGTGTAAAACTTTTAAAGTAGAACATTTGAGGTTTTTTTTGTTCTAATTTTATGGCATATAAAAATAATTAATGGAAATAATACGAAGTAAAAAAAACGGAAAAGAGTTAATGATAAAGCACAAGCGGCATTGTTATCACTTGGTGCATGCAAACGATAAATTTTAATTCGTCATCGAACACATGTAAGTAATGGACAGTTACGCAACAGGGGTATGAATTCAGGATGCAGCAAAAATAAATAAAACAAACACTGCATAGAACGCAATGATATGAATAATTAGAAATGATCGCGCAATGATGACGCGACAATTGAACTCACCGACGGTGAACGTGCATTGGACCAACACAGAAACTCCCGCCACAATCAGCTTCAAGCGTTTAAACCACATGACTAACTGCCGGCCCATTGTCACCACACACCGATTAGAACGAACATATCGTTTGTGCCCCTTGCAAGTTTCGCGTCACAACTAACTGTTTACCGCGGCGTGCTTAATTCGGCTGGCGGTGACGTAAGCCCTAGGCGGCTTCCCACTACGTACTGCTCGGGAACTTAGCAGGATGACGAAGGAGCGGTCTATTGCGCACGCGTGTGACGTACGAACAAACTTGCGAAACGCAATCCTATCTCCGCGTGATTTCAGTAGATACGCATGGTGAACATTAGAAAGAACAAGATTTTAAAATAAATAAGATCATTTTCGTGACAGCACTGAAAATACTCAATAAAATGTTGAGTCTACGTTTAATCAACTACTTGCTGTGTATTATTCGCGGAATAGAGAAGTTGTTTTTTATTAAATTTCCGTGGTATTATTATAAGCATAGTTCATTCGATGTTTTTTTAACTTTTTTAATGTAATTGTAATTTTAAAAATTAAAAATAACATTTCGATACAGTTGAAAAGGTATCGAACATTACTAACATACAAATATTCAACTATAATTTGATTTGACGGAAAAACTATTAGCTGGGTACAGAATAGCAGAACATTTTTTGTTGAGATAATTTGTACGTGCTTCTAACCTGTGACTTGATTCGCGTGTAATGACGAGAATTTGCATGCAAACTGTTCGTTCTTGCTTTACATTCTAGGGACAGAGCATTTCAAATTTCATTGAAGTTAAATTAAATATATTGTTAGTGATTGTAATAATGACAATTTACAATTTAAATTTGGATTCTTTTTGGGTTTTGAACAACCATAATACAATAATAACATTAAATTCAAGTTTCAAACTTCAGCGGCTTTATTTGTTAATTACTTTCATATCACAATTTTATAATATACATATTTCTAAGACGGAACCAACTGCGCAGGAGAGGCAGTTTTCCATGTCCGATCTATCAAAGCTAATATTGAATATCTAAATTTTGCCATTGTTATATTTTTTGTTTATTATCAGTTAAAATTACCTTTCAAGGAGCCCAAACCCGTGGGTTCTGGCTGGCCCACCGGTTCTGCGTCAGATGAAGCTTTAATAGTCACGGGACTGAAAGCACAAACATCAGTTAATACAAGAACAAGAACAACCTTTCAAGGAAGCGAAACCGAATAAGAACCCATATGTGATACGAACATGACAAATGAGTTCACAGGCTTCAATGTCGTTGTTACAATATATTTTTACTTTCGACTTATTAATGTGAAATAACCACTGTATTACATTGATACTTAATGTAGGGTGGTAGAAGTTAGATTACGATGTTCAGTTCAGTTTTAGGTACTAAATTACGGTATCTTTTTAGTTTTTTTTATGTGAAATAGTGATTACCACCGCCCTTGAATGTTTACAACACCGGTGGGATTTGAAGATGCGTCAACAGCTTTTGAAATTGTGGCCGAGGTTACCACACTCATCAATTATGAATCTAAAAGAACGAACGAAGTACAAAACTCTGGCCAAGGCAAGTACAAAGCCTGCCTTGCATATTCATGCAACAGTAGGCAGTCTAAGTTCAGTGAGGCCCTAACACACAAAAAAATCCTTAAAAAGTAACACAAGTCCGATATATAATTTATATTACGAGACTTAGTGTATAATCAACTGTTGGAAATCAAAAAAATTAAATACATGTGATTCAAATTTTAAATATATTAAGTTTTTATTGTGTCTGCTAAGTTTTTTGTAATCTCTGCACTTAAAGTGAAAAATTAACATTTTTTCACCATATTAACATCGTGAGAATCGAACCCACCACTGTGATAGCCAGCCTGCCATTTCTCACAGAAAAAAGATGCTTTAACCACTAAGCTAAACGGCTGATCGCCACGTCGTCGACAATCTCAAGGTTTATTGACTTTGTCAAATTAAAAAAAATATGTTTGTTATCAAATAGCATAGAATGTCTTTGCTCAAATTAAATTAAGAACTAATTTCCAACAAGTGTAAATATAAATTTATACAATTTATAATAATACAGCTTCATATAGTGTCATTGTTTCTAATGTTTTAAAGAAATTTGTCTCGTTATAGGCATTATTTTTATGAATATGGAATGTCACACAAATTTCTTAGATTAACATCTGTGCAAAATTAAACAAACAAAATCTAACATCTTTACCGACATGGAATAAACAGAGGTAGATCGTACTGTCCAGTTTTCATCGAGCTAAATTACTTTCTAAGCGTGGTGGCATCGCTGCACAGAAGGCATAAACGAGAGTAATGACACAGACGAGACACACTATGATACTGTTATGGTGTATGTATGTACGTCACTGTGTATTCCGCCCTTGACGGATCAGCCACTAACACTGATATCTATTTTCTTTTAATTTCCCTGTAACTCCTACAGTAACTAGATTGCGATCTAAATGATCTAAGTCTTCCCTTTTAAAACATTGGTCCCTACCTGTAGAATATCATTATCCTGTGTTGTAAGAACGTTTACATACATAAATTACACGTATACAAACAACCAGATCTGAAACAATTATCTGTGAGTCACACAAATAGATGTCTCGTGGGGCAATTGAAACCACGATCCTGGCACCGAAGCCAACACCTTGGCATCAGTCATCAAATTAATTATAACTCACAATGTTCAAAATACAGATAAACAGTAAACAGAGTTTTAGAGAACTGGTGTATTAATCATCTATCGTGTTAATTTTCAACACACAAGATATAACATTTCTAATTAATACCACACCACATAGAAGTAATTTCAATTTACCGTCAGTGTCGATGAATATTATAAATCACTAATGAGCGGTTGTACTGTAACAAACACATCGTAACATCTCAGTGTAGAACGAAATCAAAACATTTTTTTAAACCCGACTACAAACATACCAAGAAGATTTCTAATAACCACCAATAACACATTTTCCTCGAAATGAAATTATTGTTATAAGTACTTCTTTTAGACAATATATAGCGATTTGTTTTTATTTGCTGTTTGAATACATCTTTTCAAGCCATGAGACTATAATTATACATGATACTCGGGTGCTCTGATTCTGATTGGGTGACGGCATTTGTTGCTATCTGTGATTAGGTATCGGGTTTACCGAAATCTGGAAAGTCGTTAGCGAGTTAGGAATTGAAGTTTTGATTAGTCAAATTAAAATAATCCTGGAGATGTTATTTGTCTAAATCTAATTTTCACCAAGGGAGGATACCGGGGGCTTATTTCGGTGGATAGAGCGATACTAATGGTAGAGCGATACTTTACCTGTGGCAGCAGCCTCGGCTGTTGAACGAATGGGCAGGCTCGTCCGGGTAAGTACCATGACCTCACAGAAGACCGGCGTAAAGTGAAACGCAGAAGTATATAACACTTTACTTCTTTTGAAAGGTTGCGACAATTCCCTGCTACTGTAGGACCTCTCCATTCTCGCAACAGCGTAGACTGTTGCCTGAAAGCATGTCTATTGTTCAGGGCACGTTTTCCAATAAATGTGTAGCAACGGATTTAAACATTTTAATTACACAGTGATTGTTAATTAGCAACAATATGAGTAACCAGAGCTATTCCTTCTAGAGTAATCCTCCATGACTTGCGGGCGTTAAAATATTATATAAACATTTTCTTTATTCTTTATTGTACATAGAGTATAAGAGAAAACAAAATTACAAAAACAAATAATGTACAAAGGCGAGCTTAACCCTATGAAGAGTTTTCTTCCATAACATAACATTTTGGCGATAATACCTCCATGAAACATTCACCTTTCTGATCTGTGCTTTGTAAGTAAAAATAAATTATCGCACGCGCGACACGTAGCTAGCAAGCACATAAACAGGTTCTGGCAATCGATGTCGTTGCAAAGCTTACACCTTCCGTCGTGTCGGTTTATGTCCTGACCGGCACGTACAGGCCGTAATACCGCCTCTATGTTTATGGCTTGTATAATGTAGGCGCAATCCTTTGGTGATCTCAATTTGTTAACACAAAACTTGTACAGTTAATTAAATGCATTAATATCGTGCCTTGTTAACGCGTCAAATCTATCTCGATGTACCATAGTGAGCCAGGAACCACAGCGCTGTAGCACAAAGTACATTTGTGAATACAAAACCAGTACAACTGGATCCTAAACAGATGTAGCCTACAGCCGACATGGGCGAAATTTATTGTTTAGAAAAGATCCGATTAAGCGATCCGAAATTTATATAACAAAAAATATCGGAAGGATTGTATTGTTTTAGAAACGGAATCCGTAATAATATTTTCGTTATAATGAGCTCGGGACAAATTACAAAAGTATTTTACTATATTTAGATCAGCCCTTTAATAGGCCTTAGCGAGAGTACAAATAAAATGACAGTAATGATAATGAAATGATTATTGATTTATTTAATACCACAACTAAATTAGAAATTTAAATTTTTTAAAGTAGCGCTTTAAAAATTTAAATTTTTCAAAATTTTTTAAAGTGTTAATCTCTGCACTTAAGATTGAACATTAAAATATATAGAAAAAGTACGAAAAGATTGTCGCCGCTGTGGGAATTGAATCCACGTCTTCGGCATTCGCGGCCTGACGCTCTAGCCACTGAGCTAAACGGCTGATTGCCACACTGACGAAAATCTTAACTTCATTGTTTCTTAGCATTTGAAGCAATGCTTGGCGCATCCATTGTTATATCCTTAACAGCATACAAACAATTTGGAATATCTTTTCTAGAACGATAATTCGAACGAGAGTTGTCGCCATTGCTTCTTACAAATTTAAATTATTTATTGTGCTAATCTCTGCATTTAAGATTGAACATTAAAATTTTTAGAAAATGTACGAAAAGATTGTCGCCGCTGTGGGAATCGAACCCACGTCTTCGACATTCGCGGCCTGGCTGAATCATATCTATTAGAATTATTTCTAAAATATTTTTAAAACCATGTTTAGTTGTGTATCACTGGTGCCTGCAGAAAGTATTGA